TTCAAGAATTAATTATCATATCTGAAAGTGACTGCTAATTTCGAGAATTAATTATCACATCTGAAAGTGACTGCTTATTTCAAGAATTAATTATCATATCTGAAAGTGACTGCTAATTTCAAGTATTAATTAAGCAGCAACCTATTCCTTATGCATATTCTTGTGTAATATTTTCTTACCAAACTCTTTTCTAGAGCTTCTGCATTAACTTCTCCAATAATCCGAATCTTAGCCACCTTTCTGATGTTGGAAAATGGTCCCACATCACAACGAGTTTCTTTACAAACGGCAGTTTTGCAATTCTGAAAAAAAGAAATATCTAATATAGGGAAATAACTAAAAAAAAATTAATCAATAAATTTATAAAGTGTTGTACACAATACATTTTTAAAGCGAAACTCTACAATGTAATTTTAAATGTTTATAAAATAAATGATAATATGGTACTTCCAGATGAACTGTTTTCCTCGTCAGAATAACCCATAAATAACAAGAGATTTGAGCAGGAAAGGTACTGTGTAATTAAATTCTCTTGGTTTTGAACGAGTGTACAGAAAAAGAGAGAGACTGGATACAGTATGAAGCACGGTGAAACAATCTTTATTGAATAAAAAACGAGTATGTGGATCAAGGACAGCACCTGTACTAAAAGTCTGAAGGAGTTCAGAAATGTGGAGCAAGCCTGTTGAAAGTCAGTGAAGTTCTGTTGTAGACTGAGAAAAAATGACATTATATACATAGTTTTTTTAATGCTATTTTGCTCAGGATGAGTTCGTTACCTATTTACTGTTAAGTCATTCCCGTTGAAAGGTGAGGGAAGTTATATCCTCAAGGTATCAGCTGGCTCACCAGCTTGGATGAGTAGATTCTACATGGTTTCTACAGTTACAAATATTTAAGAATTACATAGGTTTTCAGCAGATTTTAAACAATTATTACATAGTTTTCAATCTCATTTAGTTTCTGTTATTTTTGCAATTGTGTTTCAGTAAGTATCTGACAGAAACCTTCAGTTTTTGCTGTATTTCTTGTATATTTTTGCTTTTGTTACATTAAGAGTCGAGTGACTAACAAAGTGTACCTTTAGTTTAAATTTTAATTGTTCTAACTTCTTCTCATGATCACCTTAAATAAGCAAGATTTAAAATGTTGTTGTTGTAACATTCATTCATGTTAGTATTCTTAGCATCGTTTGTTGATGTTAGTATTCTTAGCATTGTTTGTTGACGTCAGTATTCTTAGCATCGTTTGTTGACGTTAATATTTTTAGTAGTGTTGGTTCATGTTAGTATTCTTAGCATCGTTTGTTGACATTAGTATTTTTAGTAGTGTTGGTTCATGTTGGTGTTTTTAGTAGTGTTGGTTCATGTTAGTATTCTTAGCATCGTTTGTTGACATTAAGGGTTACCAGATTTAGAATGTAGCATTTGGCTCCACTAATTAAGGTTTAAAGTGTTTTTTTTAAGCTTCATCAGTGAAATCTAAATAAGATCTTATAGTAACGTGATATATGACTTAACTCAGGGTACATTTTCAATTAGAATTTACTTTTCTTTTATCTCATTTGGTTTAACTCACAAGGGGACCCAACACATTAACAAGACTAACTCGGTTTAACTCACAAGGGGACCTAACACACTGACAAGACTCACTCGGTTTAACTTACATGGGGACCCAACACACTGACAAGACTCACTTGGTTTAACTCACATGGGGACTTAACACACTGACAAGACTCACTCGGTTTAACTTACACAGGATCCAACAAACTGACAAGACCCCACTCGGTTTAACTTACATGGGGACCCAACACACTGACAAGACTCACTCGGTTTAACTTACAAGGGGATCCAAAACACTGACAAGACTCACGTTGTTTAACTTACATGAGGACCCAACACACTGACAAGACTCACGTTGTTTAACTTACATGAGGACCCAACACACTGACAAGACTCACTTGGTTTAACTCACAAGGGCATCCAAAACACTGACAAGACTCACATTGTTTAACTTACATGAGGACCCAACACACTGACAAGACTCACTTGGTTTAACTCACAAGGGCATCCAAAACACTGACAAGACTCACATTGTTTAACTTACATGAGGACCCAACACACTGACAAAACCTCCTTATTTTCCATCAGTCTTCTTCAGCTCTTGTCATTCACCAACTTACAAGATCACTTTCCCAACTATTTAGTGTATTGTTAATTGTGAAAGTGACATTAAACATTTGTTCTTTATACAAATCTGTGTCTCGTGTTTCCTTATTTGTCACTTAACTGTTACAACTCATTGGGAAGTCTTCACCCAAGCCCGAGATTTGAGAACCTCTGGTTGTAATCAGGCCTAATTTCTCTGCTTTATTGGTTATCTGTGAGGCACCACAAACTTAACTTTGTACCAGAGTCTGTATAACACATGAAGAAACCATGAATACTCACTCTTTAGTATTCCAGATTAGATATGATAACATCACAAGTTCTTAAAATATAAAATACGAATAACTAAGTTTATTGGCTCCTAACATACCAATATGTGTTCGAAATCCACATCTTTTGTCTCATCCTCAGTTGTTTTCTCAATATCTGTACCAGTCTCATCAAGTTCACCTAATGTGCGTATCTTACAGCTGCCTGATACATAGGTATTTGAGCCATCTCCAACCTAACGACAAGGAAAGTCAGAAATGAACTTGAGAGATGTAAATTAGACAAAACTAACAAAGTACAGGAGAGGTAGGATCTAGCTGGCAGTAGTATATCTTTTTTGCATTTTCCATATACACGTATATCAAATTAAACATAACTAGAGATACGCACAGTTACTTAGAAAAAGATAATGGAATGTTCCGTAAAGATCTTACTATTAATAATAATAATACTTTACTTGTTTAATAGTTTGGTTCGACTACTTGTATAAGTATCAGACTAAAGTACATGTGACTTTATTTTTCAAAATAAATGTTGTTTTTTTTTCAGGGAGATTCTGGTTACCTCAACTTGACGGACGTTAATCAGTTGTTCAGTATTTCTATCGAGTGACGATGGAACGAATATAATAAGGGTGACAACATCGATTGGACTTGGTGAAATCTTTGAGACCTGGAACAGAAAACAAATCATATAACATAATTCTAAATATAAGCATGTCTTAATGAAACACTCTTTTAAAAAAACTTACTTAATTTAAAGGTTTGCTTAAGGAAGTATATAGACCACAATATGATGTTTTTAGGGGTTGAAAGTGTAGCTAATCTTCTTTCACTGCAGTAAAGAAACAGTAATATCTCATTTATTTTCTGTAATTATTTTTCCTTTTCGTATTGGGACAGCGGTAAGTCTACGGACTTATGGTGCTAAAATACGGGGTTCGATTCCCCGCAGTGGACACAGCAGATAGCCCAATGTGACTTTGCTATAAAACAAACTCATCAATATGCCCCACGGTGTGATAGCAGTAAGTTTATGGACTTACAATACTAAAATCCGGGGTTCTTTGATTCCCCATTGTGGATACAGCAGATAGTCCAATATGGCTTTGCTTTAAAAGCTAATAAACAAATCTTTTCATAATTATACAGAAAATGACAGTGGTCATTGAACTTCATGAATGTTTCCAGTTCTTTCGTAACTTAATTTCTATACATTCACTTTTCTTCACAGGAAATAGTACTGTATTCTTCTTCTTCTGTAGCTTTTTCCCGTATCTATACGGGGTC